TTACATGGGCAGGATATTGCATACATTTCTTACCAAGCATTGCAGCCTCCTCCTTTGTTTACCCTTCACATCCCTTCCCAGCCTCCCCCCTCCCCTCCCTCACAGATTTTCTTGCCCCTGCTGGCTTTGAACTGTGATGCTCAGATCTCAACCTTCTGCGTAAGTAGGACTACAGGCGGGAGCCACCAGCTCCCGGCCTCACTTATCTCTTACCCTTGTCTACTTCCCCCTTTCCCCTCTTAGAACCTGGAGCGCAGTGGGAACCAGCATAAGGCAGAAGTGGAAGCCATCATGGAGCAGCTCAAGGAACTGAAGCAAAAGGGAGACCGTGACAAAGAAACCTTGAAGAAGGCCATCCGAGCCCAGAAAGAGCGAGCCGAGAAGAGCGAGGAGTATGCCGAACAGCTACATGTGCAACTCGCCGACAAGGTAGTGGGCTGTATGCTTGGTGGATAGAGCAGAGGGATATAGTTGTGGAAAGGGTGAATGAGCTGGAAGGGGGCGGTACCTCAGAATTTGTACACAGAATGCCTGGGCTACTTGGAGGCTGGCAGTGGTAACGGGGCCCCCACTGTCACTCTGGCCTGGTGTTCTCCATAAAGAGGTGCTGCACACAGGGGGAGGCCCAGGTGTCAGGATTGGGATGTCTAGGCAAGTCCAGCCCTGAGTCCAGTCTGAAGCCTGGGTGTCAACACCAGCTGACGCACCTGCTCTCTTGTGTTCCAGGATCTTTATGTTGCTGAAGCTCTATCCACCCTGGAATCCTGGAGGAGCCGTTACAACCAGGTTGTGAAAGACAAAGGAGACCTCGAGCTGGAAATTATTGTCCTAAATGAGTACGTCTCACACTGGATAGAAGGCCAATGGAGGGACTTGAGGGTTGAGTGGAAGGCGCCTGCTTGGTGCCCTGAAGTCTTGAGGCTCATCAGGCTACTGTGGTCTCCCCTTGTTGGACTTTACCACGCTGAGATGCAGGCAGCCCTCAGCCAGCTATACTCAGAGCTGGTCCAGACTCTGGCCCCAACCCTGAGCTACTAGCTAGCCTCAGTCTCCACAGTTCGGGTCAAGGACATACTCCTTGGGGGATGTTGTGACTGATGATAGTCTCTGTTGTGTGTGTTCTGTCCAGTGACGGCAGTTGTCAGCGCCTGCCCATCAGCTGTGGCGATTGAATCGAGGCCTCCATGTTGTAATGGGCTGAAATCACACCTTTCTTGCCATAATGAGCTGTCAGCAGTGACCATTTAATACTTTTACTAATAGTCACATTCATCTCTTAATTCTTTTAAACACATGCAGAGAGGCTCTCACACACACTAGCTGACAACCCACCTAGGAGTGGGAAAGATTCCAGAGGAGTTTATCCTAACTCAACACCTGAAGGGGTATGAACTAGCAGGTGCATGGGAGCCAGGAGCAGTGTGCCCCATCTTTGTCTTCACGGAGTATCTTGGTGTCCTGGGACTTAACCTTATTAAATCATTCCTTAGGATTGAACCCGTAGATGCTTCATAGAGGGGGTGGCATGGGGACAGATAATAAATGAACTTTAAAAGGTGTCATCTGCTGTGGGACATGGGCATGTGGTAGTTGCTTCTCTGTGTATTGAGAAGCAAGCAGGCATTGTGCCTAGAGGTGAGTGTGATCTAGAGAGGAACATTTGGCCCCACTGCCCATAGAGACCTGGCCTGCTTATACTGACTTCTGTCCACGGTTACTTTGTGACCTTTCAGCCGGGTGACAGATCTTGTAAACCAGCAACAGACCTTGGAGGAAAAGATGAGGGAAGACCGGGATAGCCTGGTGGAGAGACTGCACCGGCAGACCGCTGAATATTCTGCATTCAAGCTTGAGAACGAGAGGCTGAAGGTCTGTGGGCTGCTGGGAGAAAAAGCAGATGAGGGGTCTTAAAGAGGGCCTGATGGCAGCAGTCTGATGAAACGGGAATGCTCACAGACTGGTTTTTTGAACCGTGATCCTCAGATCTCAGCCTCCTGAGTAGCTAGGATTACAGGTGTGAGCCACCAGCACCTAGCTTAGTAAGACTATCTTAAGAAAGTGTGCATAGGGAGCTGGGCGCTGGTGGCTCACGCCTGTAATCCTAGCTACTCAGGAGGCTGAGATCTGAGGATCGCAGTTCAAAGCCAGCCCGGGCAGGAGAGACCA